AACAATATTCTCTCTCTATGTCTGCAGTTCAATTACACAGCATTACACTGTTTCCGTCGCTTCTTGGCCGGTCTTATATATACAAGACTACCGCATATCTAGTAGTCTCCCGACGTTTCGTGAACGTTCTAGAAGTGTGTGACGTGTCACTAGTCACGTGACCTCGTTGACGCAACATTGATAATGTAAAATTTAAATGGTACATAAATGTAAATTTTTAACATTTGTCTTTGTATTGCATTCCAGATGTAGTGTTGTAGACATATTATATATAACATATGCTTCTTTACTTATTATTTATTTCATGATACCGAAAAGAACGTGTTGAGTTTAATGTCGCGTAGATAGCAGCACATTACAATTCCGTAGTTATAGCTAGATGATTTACCTTTGGCAAATTCATGTTGGTATTCTTTTATTATATTATATTTCGTTAAATAATTTTGAAAAACATATTTTATCAGATTCGCGAGAATTTTTCTCACCACAAAAGTCTGCTCTATAAGTTTCAGGTAATTCTTATCACCCTTTTTAAAAATAGGATTAACATTAGGAACACTCCAGTCCTAAGACACCTGCCCAGTGTCTGTTGATCTACCAAAAATGAAAAAAAATAATTTATGATCTCTTTTAAAACCCTGTGGAAAACATTGTATTGTCCTTGTATACTTTAATCTCTCACTTTTTCTTTTCATCTACCAAGGAACTTACATCTTTCTACATGGTTCAGAACAATCGCGATATTTCGCATGAATGATCAGGTTCAAGAATATTACTAACATCTCCGCTTGTAAAATCAGAAGAGAACATTTAAAGTTACAACCGAATAAAGATATATTATACGTAGCAGTTTTCCTCAGTAACTCGTGGTATCTGGAACTACTTTGTTAAACCCAATTTTATTTCTTTGTTGCTTAGCACAAAACTACACAATGGACAATTTGTGCTTTGCCCATCCTTGTTATCGAAATTTGATTTCGAAGTTATAAGCCCACAAATGTACTACTCAGCCACCGGTGGTTCACATAACTTTTAACAAAAGCACAAAACATAGCTTTTGAGAACATGGTCAGGTGGATAAGGCGCTCGACT